CAGTAAAATCACATTACGGATCATATGATTTACTATGCCTCATAACTTGATTTTACTGGAAACGTTCCCATATATTACATACTTCCAAAGGCACAACATGGTGGATTTCTATCTCAGCTAAGGGGATCATTGTCTTATCAGTTACCAACCTATTTGTTAGAAATGACCACGAGCTGTATATTCCATCATGACTCAGGTCCATGACAAACGATTCCATCAAATCGCCTAATTATTATATAATGGTAAAAAATATAACCAACCTTTATGTAATCTTATTCATTACAAGCATACATACCCACGTTTAGAAATATAACAGCCTCGCCTGGCCCACCTTTTTCTTTCAATTGTTGGTTGATTGATTTTCGTCCCTTTAATTGTGCTTTTACATAATCCTTTTTCCGTTGTAATGGAGTGCACCCAATAGGTTTGATTTCTGAATTTAATATCGGTATATGATTTACTGTACATGATAAGTCCGGTCTTTCCATTCCTAAATTGGAGCGGTTTAAGGCAAGTTTATATTCTTTTTCGCCAGATGAAAACGGACGAAGAATTGGAAAAAGGAAAGCGAAGCAATGTTCCCCTTCAGTCATCTTTGGAGAAACTACGTTCGGTATGCTATCATATCTATAATTTTTTATAAAAGGCTGTATAAGATACTAACTTAATATACATATTATAAAATTGTATGACCTACAAATTATTAAAGAATGTGCGACTGTTCTACCGAGTTTTGATTCTCCACTTTTCATGAAAACATCCTTGGCAAGAAAATGATTAAAGGATGCTACTCGGAGAGAAAAAGAAATTTCTGGTGGGAGAGTAGATTCTCGTATGGTGTATGGGTTGGTCCCTATAATTACATTCCATTCGTCATTCGTAAATATGGGGTAGGGACATGTATTTCGAAGTACAATTATGGATGATAGAGATCTAAATGCCATGAAGAAGAGATACTTAGTATATTATTGTATGTTCATTGTCCAATCTTAAAATACTTACAAAATTTCATAAATGTCTTCTAATTCTTCAGTTTCGGCTTTTTTAAGTACTTCCATTTGATATTTTCGAAATCTATCGGTAATATTAATCTCATTGACCTTCCACTAAAAATCAGAGATAATAATTTATGAAATATGCAGGATAAAGAAATAGGAAATTTGATGTGTCATACTTCATTTCTTGGTTTACATTGTAATTCATTCGAAATGCTTGTAAAATCAAATTTTATTTTGTGACCGTCTCTAACTTCTTCTGATATTGGATCACAATTTATAATATCATCCGAATCAGAATTTGATTCAGAATAGTCTGGAATCACTCTTCCGTATCTTGTTCGACGTTGCTTTTGTTGACAATTATAATTAGCACCAGTTTTCAAGCTCTTCTTCCTAATAGTTTGAATGTAATCAGATTCTTGACACATCATCATCAATTAACTTACCTCTTTTTTCGCATCATTATCAGCATCTCCAGACTTTTCTTCATAAGTTTTGGATGTTTTGTCACTTGGCTTAAATTTTTTCTTTGGACTCTCCTTTTTATTAACATTATATCTTTTAAGGGAAGAGGGTGACGAGTTTTCTTTTCCTTTACGAGATCCCAATATATGAAGTAGGTGTGAGTAAGATTCTTTAGCATAAGGAAGGTACATAGCCGATTCTTCCTCCAGAATCGGCAGACCTTAATCAAAAGAACCTCATGGCAAGATCTGGCACGTCGCAGAAGCTCTATGTCTGGACGCTCTTCTTCCCCGTAGCCGTAGAATACAGGGCGTAGCACACTTACTATTCTCGTTAATACTTTCACCTTCCTGAGAATGTGTAAAAATACTAACCTTCAGTTGACGTTTTATTGATAATAATTTCTTCCCCTCCTTCGACTCTGGTTTTATGTTTTCTATTAAAATTTCTAATTCGATTGCTAACGAATTACGGGCGCTACGGGTCGTCTGCTTTGGCACATTTTGAAAAAACCGTTCCCACGAATTTACCCCCCATTGTGCGTACGGTCTCTTCCAATAATCGCTATTTTGAACTTTATGTAAGACTTCTTCTGGCAACATAGGAAAACGAGATATAGCAAAAAAATAACAGAAGGAAACAAGCTAAAAATTAAAAGACTTTGATGCGATTAGAACACGTTTTCGCGTATGTCGCGTAGGAATATGGGTTACACTTTTAAAAATCACGAGCCCGATACGGGTGATTCTATATGAGGCGCAGTTGTCACGTGAGCGTGAACCATGGTTCACGCGATCTGCACTTTATTTATGAATTATGATCCCGGCACGAAATGTTAATCTGTAACCATATTATCATTATTTCTAATATACCTAACATTTTTTTCGAACTTTTCTGCATAGTAGTACCAACAGTGAATTTCCTTTTGATAAGCTTGAGTTACTCATTTTTCAGCCTTAATTGCTTTTTGGAATAATTGAGCTAAATTCTGCGAGATCAAACCCTCAGAACTCTCATCCTGATAATTATTTGTTTCAGTGATCTCCTCTTAATAGGTGTAGATAATTCATGTAACAACCCTTGAAATCTTTCCTATTCACAATTAGTTCTTGGGAATGTTTCTCTTGATAATCAGATTTGTGCATTAGCAATATTATCTTCAGTTGTTTGATTAGTCAAATTATTCATCCTTTAATCATAGATTTTAGGGAATAAACAGAATGAAAGGTGAGTGTGATTACTACATATTCCATTTTCACTGCATTACCTACATTATTTGAGAACTATGATTGTTATTCCTATCATCATTATTTTCAGCATCATCAATGATATCTGATAGCTCTGATATCTCTTCTACATACGCAATTGGACTTGTCGCTTGATCATACATAGTAACTTCGGTTCTCTTTTCCTCCTGACCCACAAGAGAATCTTTGTCTTCTATAGTATCATCACTTAAGGGGTCTTTTTTTTGAAATCATTATTCTTAGACACCATGTGATACTCACCAGAAGCTAGTGCAAGTTCCTTTCTAATAAGTTCGATAGGTGATATACAACTAGAAATAGGACATAAAGGAAAATGTGTTTTTGATCGTACAATATATTTTTCAAGACATATTCGATGGTATATATATTCACATGATAATACTGTAAATGAATGAAGAGGTAAGGCAAGAATTTCTTTATCGCAGAAGTGACAAGGATTAAGTTTCGGGATATATTCATCAGTTATTTCAGAAGTGTTTTTTATGAAATTTAACGAAAGTGCTTTAAGTTGAAAAACCTCTGTATTATCTGCATGAATTTCTGAAGGACTTGCTGGTAGTTCGCTAGTCATACTGTTAAATCATAAAGAAGATTTCTCACCCTTTTCTCCCTACATAAATATTTTTTCATATATCAAGACTAAAATGAAATTAGCCTTACTTCTGAAAAAATTTATCTTAGAAATGAGCATCTCAGAAATGGTCATTTCAGAAATGAGCATCACAGAATGAAGATCACGAATAAATCAGGATCAATAATGAAAGATATGTATAATACTAATTAGTTTGTTTTGTCTGATTTTGCCATAACAGATAAAAGACTATCTCACATTATCTTTATGTTATGACCCTTTTCAAACATATGTAGCAAAAAAAAAGATTACTATACTCTCAGTTAAGATTACAATTGTCGCAAAACATGAAAGCCCTTAAGATAAATATGGTAATCCCTCCTTCAATCAAAGGTCTGCGTTTCAAATTGGAGTGAATATCAACTTCAAAAAAATTTTCACTAAACAGTTGCACTATCATATGTGTGATCATATTTAACCAGATTATATAATAGCAAGTACTGTGTGGGGTTGGTAGTGAACTTACCTGCGGTCTTGTGTCTATTATTCCTCGATTTCTTAGCCATTACTAGTTAGTTTGTCCAATTCAATAATTAGTTGATTTAACGTTAACAGATCGGGATGAATATCTTTTACGTTTCACCTTCTTATTACCAGATCTTTTCTTCACACATTTTACTTTGTGAACCTTCTTTTCTGAGTTGTGTATCACATAATCATAATCTGACTCAGATGAATTAGATGAATCTGTTAGTTCTTCACCAGATTTTAAACCAGTCTGCTCTTCTACATAATTTCCTATCCAGTCTACAGTTCGTTCTAGCTTTTTAACCTTCTTCTTAAGCTCGGATGGATAAGAGTAAGAAAATAATATATCTAAACGTTTTTCTATTTCATCCAACCTTTCCTCTAGCGATTTGATTTTTACAGAAACTAATGCACTTTCAAGTGATCTCATTTTAGTATTATTTTTATAACTGTATAATTATTGTGCCAGAAAAAAATATAATAACTATAAACGCTATATCATTAGTCTAACTATAGCAGTTCCTTAACCTCGTTAATTTTAGTTGCATTCGAGTCAAGTGAGCTAGCTATGTGAGATATACATTTATTTTGATATTTCACTGGAAGCTTGGCCCTTATAGTTCTTTTTTTGGCTACTTCATGGGGATACCATCTTTGACCATATTCTTGTATGCTATAATAGACCAATGCTCATAAGGCAAGCTGGTTATCCTATTTGATAATATCTAGTATTTAGTATCTATAGGACAGAGAGCCTTCTTCTCAGACTCAACCAGAGATATAACATGATCTTTTGATCAGAATCCTATATTCTTAGCATAGAATGCATTTTTCTAGAAGAGACAATCCTGATAAACTAGGGTCATTGGATTAGCATCAGTTCGTATTACTAAATCCTTAACTTCTTGATCTGTTAATAATGACTTATCTATCAGATCATCAAGCAAAGATCCTTCTAAAGTTAGCATATATGATTCTATAGCCATCTCATTCATACCCTTCTTACTGACCTCTTATGCTTCAACTTTGTGGATTTATCAGCCAAGACATAATGGTATAATTTTGCTCAGATATGGAAAGATTCAGTAATTACATTACCTGGAATCTTATCTTTAAAAAGTCTAATAGTCTTCAAATCATTAAGATCAAAGAGGTCTGGTCATTCTGCCATATCATCATAGATATTTTCGATCTCAATCATAAATATAAAGGAGTCTGTATCTATATACCCAAGCTTTGCCTTATTCCCATATTTCTCTTTCACATAATTATACCAGAAGCAGTATATTAAAAGTTTACTAAGACCTAGAACTGATACTCCAACAATGATTGGTTTATTGAGAATTACGCTAGCTTTTCCTATGTGTGCACTTACTAGCATATCTCTAAGTGGTCTGCTATATTTGAAATTTGGGCTTTTGATTTTCTTGAGAAACTTCTTTTCATTTGACTCATTATTATAGGCCATGATTTTAACATCCTGATACTTTCTAACATTTTCTATAGTCTTACCATATACTGAATTATTTATGAGCTTAAAGAAGTCTTTTTCGAATGCATTCTTAGCTTTTTGGCGTAATTTAGTATTTTTTTGCAATATATGGAGCTAACCAGTTTGTCTGGTTAAATAATAAGATCTCTGTGACTTCATCTACAACTATGCTCAACTTTATATAAAACTGGAGCTTTTGATAATAAATGACATAATTTTTCGTGGACCAAAATAAGGGACTAATTTTTCTGTTGCATAGAATTATTCACCATCTATATCATTTACAAGATTAGTATTATATGGGCATAGCATATCCTTTTTTACTGCGACATTTTCCACAGCTAGAGGTAGTGATACCTGACTAAACACTTTTTTGAAAAATTGTAATTTTGTCAAAAGTTTCGTCTCTTTAATATTTTTGTATGAATAAATATAAAATTATTATATTTTTTAATGTACTTTAATTCAAGGAATTTAGATCAAGTTAAATATAATTTCGACAATTAAGTAAAATAATTTTGTCATTAATAAAAAACTAGTTTCGTCATTTCAGTTTCATCAATTTCGTCATATTAAGAAAGGTAATTTTGTCAGGTATCATTAGCTGGAGGTAAGTCCTTCAAATAATTGCGAGTCTTTAGAGGAAATGAGAATTAATCATTAAGTAGAATCCACGTGATGCATCTGCTTCAGTCTTGAGAATCATTTTGAGATATTTCTTTTGCATTTTGGGATTATTCTTTAGATATTCTCAACTAGTAACCACTTATAATTTCCAATTGGGAGAAATCTCATAGCCCAGCCATAATGATTATTCGCATTTATATAGGAGATTCATGTTATTAATTGAGATATATCAAATACGTCTCCTATATTAGGATTATTTACCTTGAAATATTTATGCACTGCCATAGCAATATCACCATGCTTCGCCTTTTCAATGAAGTCATGCATTGCTATTTCTGTAAATAACTCGATCTTAATCTTGATTATCTTAAGCATAGCATCCCAGAATAGAGAAAGTGCGGATATATAATAACTTGGATCAAGGCCATAATGATGCTTTGATGTCTTTCTAAATGTTATTCAGACATCTGCTAGACT